TTCTATTCAGATGATTTCTCTAACTTGCAATGTATGGAATTCCGTCCTCATTTTATCTCGAGATGCACATTCACCAGTTTTGCTGGCTAGTCATTATCGAGTTGCGAAGAAACTAATTAATAACAGGTAATGTGAATTTGATAGATTATTTCCACCTTAAAAATTACTGAGCTTCGGCGCAAATTATTTTGGGAAACCCTGTACATCACATTCGAAAACGAGGTTTCAGCCTAGAAGTAACCGTCGCCAAGGAATCGAGGGCCCGTGATGAGGCTTGAACGATTTCCAATGACCAACTGAACCATCTGAACAGTCAAGCAGACTTGACTTACTTGGCAGTAGTGAAACCCTAGGTATGGGTGATGCAGTAGCGTACCTAAGCGAACTATAGGCTGAGATCATGGTAACCCAGTAAGCTCTGAAGACATAGAGCAGTTCTTTGGAAGTCCTGATTTATGGTACTACATCCACTTGGCCTAATGAGTGACATCTGTGGTCATCTGTCGGGGTACCAATTGAATGAAATAGGAAAAATGTAAAGCAGATTCGTGAGGCATAGGTGTCACCACATCCTCATACGGAATGGAGTGACTAGTTATCATTATTTAGATTAGCAAGAACAGGTGGTCAGTTAATCGATATAGTTTATTTCGTAGTCTTAAATCGTATCAGTTGTCATTCCATCGAAGATCTGTCACAAAGGTAAAAGTGTGATGGCCGGTGTTTGTTTCAGCTTAATCGGGTACAATTTTACTGAGAAACGACGACCGCAGCGGTTCGATTTTTAAGGAATAACCGATGAATAGAGCGACCCAAGCCAGGAGCAATAAAAATGCAACCATTACGAAGAGGAACAGTATTAGAAGTAGGACCTGGAAGTAGTACTTTAGTATGTAGAAGCCTTCTCAGAACAGATTCTAAAAACTCTTCACCTTGCGAGTTTTTCTCTGCTTAGGCTTCATGTCGAGATAGTTTTCTGGACTCTGTCTCATGTCTGGAAACAATAACTGCTGGTAGCACTCCAGTGTAGTAGGGAGAAGTGGTAGTTCGTGAGAGGACCATATCAAAAATGAAGAACTAGCAGCATCAGGTAGCCTAACTTCATTTGCCGCGGAAAGACACCCGGACGAAAACAGGGGCAACGTACCTCGCCCTTCCCAACTAACAATTTCTCTGCTTCCAACTCCTTCCATGCTTCCGATTTTCTCCCTGTGTAAAGTTGCTTCCTTGCTTCCAAATTCTTCCTTGCTCCCGAATTCTTCTCTGCTTCCGACTCCTTCCCTACTTCCTAATTCTTCCCTGCTTCTGACCACTTCGCCGCTTCCAACTTTTTTGGCGAGTATGTTTTTCCTTGTGGTTCCTTCTATAGTGTTCTGCTTTCTTTTACGTGGTTTCCACCACCTTCTTTTTTGACCAGTTTTTGACGCCGTTGAGGTTTTGCTATCTTTACTTTTTTGGGTGTCCAACGAATCTCTGCTTCGACCGTCGCTGAAAAACTTCATCAGAACTCTTNATCCTGGAGTGTCAAAACCTATGATGATCAACCTAGGTGGAGGAGGTGGATTCCTCATATATATTTGGGGTATGATGTTCTCATACTGGTGGATATCTTCAGGTGGTGGAGGTGGTAAAGGGTATACACCCATACGAGGTCCTATATTTTCGTAGGCGGCATTCTGTAAATGGAAATAACTGTAGGTTTCAGACACCTAGTCGAACAGGTTGAACAGAAGAAAACCGCCCACCTCCATCCTATTGAGTCTGACCAAGCACAAAAACTAAGCATTACTCGCTTTTCAAATCTGACTCTGATAATAAGTTACTACTGACTTTGTGTATCGGTCTGTCGGTCTGTCTCTCTCCCGCTTTGTCTATGATTCTGATAGCCAAACATCTCAGAATCCTTATATTTTACGTCATACATCTCGCTGAGTGTGTCTTGGTTTGTAGGTTTATTTGTATGTTTGTGGGTGACCGGTATAGCTCCTATCCAACTAAGTCTGGAGCGTTTGATCTTGAAAGGGACAATGACGACGGGGTGGAAACACTGACGGTTGGAGATAGCAAATGGTCACAATCAAAAGGAACTAATAAGGATCTAAAAAGGCAAGAGCCAGAAGATCCGTTACGCCTACCAGTTGACACTGGATGCTGGAACTTCGGTAGGTGATCTTGGGTGCACAGTAAGTGGTTGGTGACAAAGACTAGCAGAAACTTATTGGGGAGGATAAGGAATTATAGAAGGTAAGAGTCACTGAGTTGGTTACATTCTCCTGCCAACACTGGAACCTTGACACTTCGAAGATAGAAGTGAGATGTGACGGGATCGTGAATGCTTGGTGGCTGGGACTGCCAACAATTGATAGCGACTGATACGCAACCATAGAACGGCTCAACCCTTGATGCTATGGTAGGCGATGTGGCGTTAATGATTGGTGACAAGTAGAGAAGCGAGCGATAAGGGTGATAAGGAGCAATCTACCCCTAGGAAGCAGATTTAGGATGTGTCAAGAATGGAAGTGATTGATGTACGGGACTGATAACGAATGTTAAAGTCTGGTGAATGACTGCTTATACAACACATCTCTTCGCATGGCAGCGGAACATCGCTTCTTCAGTGTGCTACAATGGCAGATACCGGATTATAGTAAGGATGATAACGTTGATAAAGAATGATGAGGGATTTAAGAGACTTCTAGTCTTTTGCATCTGTGGTATATACAGAAGCGCTCAAAGGTCTTCGACCAAACGCTCTAACGCTTTTTCGTACATAATTTTTTTCTTGGTGGAGCAAATCGCGCGAATTTTGATATGTCTAACTAAAGCACATTTCACACTATCCAACAGTACTTGACTGCAAAGCAGCAATACCAACATGGTTAGAACCAGGTGCTTGTTGCGGTAGCAGATTTCGCTAAAAGCAAAGTTATTGACTTCTGCAGTTATCCGCACCTTATGTGCGTTATTCTTCTCTTCTGTGTTCGGCATCAGCGCCCGTATGCTTTAGACATGGCAAAAAGGAAAGAGAAGGAAGAACATTCGTATTTCTAGTATTTTAATTTCGAGCCGTTTGCGATGTCTGGAACATAATCCGATTGAAGGTTGATGTGGCAAATGTTCACAATACACCCATGCTACGCATATTGAAATTTAATTAGATCTTGTAGGAAAGGAGTTACGACTGAAAAGTACAACTGAAGAAGCATTTCGAGACGGGATAACAGACAAGGCTGTCAAAAATAACTGTCAAGCGGAGTGATAATGACACCAGTGCAATTCTGGAAGGCTGTGATAGGGCAATCATGACAGTAGTATGACTCTGATAACGAATAATAAGTCTAGTATGCTGGATTAGCAGTTTTCTTAACGTTCAAAAACACAGATTATCACAGAGCCAAAGGTAGATTGATGCATGGATTTGATAGTATCTTAGTATCAGAGTCAGATTCAGGGAATAAGTGATGTTCATTTTTTATACACGGACAGATTCAATAGGATGGACGTGAGTGGCGTTCTCGTTTTCTATACTTGCTATTAGGCATTCAAAGTTTGCAGTGATCTGATGTTACAGAGGAGTGGTTTATATGATGACACCAGCCTGCGTATGGGCAGATATCTTCCAGAAATACGAGCTCCGACACCGCCACCACCACGGGTACGGCCTCCGCCACGGCCGCCTCCACGGCTTCCGCCCCTGCCGCCTTCATCTAAACCAGCAACACCCCTCATGAACGTCTACCAACCCAGAACCGTCTTACCAAGAATGTATAGAAGAAACCTATCCCAACCATATAGAAGTAACCTATCCCAACCATATAGAAGAAACCTATCCCAACCATATAGAAGAGACCCATCTCAACCATCGAGGTAGATGCTTAAAGTTTCATCATTTCTTCGAGCAAGACTTTTTGAGAATGTCTTTCAGCAAGAGCACAGATACAGTGGAGGCACAGAGGAGCAAGATGAGCAAGTTACCACTGAGAGAGGAACGAAATCAAGAAAAAGCTGAGTGGAGGCAAAGACAGCGAAATAGTGGAAACGAGAACAAAGAAGGATCCGGAAGGAAGGAAGGGATTGGAGTACTTAGAAATTTGAGAGAAAGGGGAAGTGCTAGAGGCAGTAAAGGACCTCTGAATAAAGAAGTGATGGAAAGGAGGAAAGGAACTGGAAGCAGGGACGAAGTTGTCCGTAAGGAAGCATATGGAAGCAAGAGCGGATTTGGAAGTAGGGGAGGAATCGGAAGCCGGGAAAGGGTTGTAAGCTTAGAGGGCACCAACGAAGAACTCGGATCCAAGGAAGCATTAGGAAGTAAGGAAGAACTTGGAAGCAGGGAAGGAATTGGGAACAGGGAAAGAGTAGGAAGCAAGGAAAAAACTGGAAGTAAGGAAGGAGCTGAAAACGGAGAAGAACTTGGAAGCAGGGAAGATGTTGTTAGTGGAGATGCCATTGGAATCAGAGAAGTGGACAGTCCAGAAGGATCAGGTACAGCCAGATTACACACTACCCAATTTGAAGGTATATTCCGCGATGAGTCCGAGAAACCTAACTCTGATTCCTTATCAGCTTCTTTGACCATTTAGTATCAACATGCCTCTTGATGCATTGAAGGCCAAACACACCACTCACAAGACTTGAAGGCTGATTTGATTCTTCCGTTCAAGTGAACTTTCACTAGATAGTTTCCGAAACTAGGCGCT